GAAAATACCACTGACTCTTGGGGGAAGGGGACAGACTCAGAATGTCCAACAATTTTGTACAAATGTTTTCTCACCTGTACAGTAGACCAGGTGTTGTGGACCTCATGGAAAGATCTTATACTTAAATAATCATACTGTGGTTGATTGGGGACCACATGGTAAATTTCTTCAGAATTGTTCTGATAGTTGGGTGTGGTGGTGCACGCCTGTAGTCCCAGCACTCGGGATGCTGAGGCAGGAGGATTGCTCTGAGTTGAGACCAGCCTGGGCCACATAGTGAGTTCCAGGTCAGTCTCAACTACATAGTGAGACCCTGTCTCAAAAAACAAAACAAAACAAAAAAACAAACAAGAATTTTTCTGATGGTGTTAGCAAGACTGTTTGTGATTATATTAATGAGTTAGTCTGGAATAGTACATGACAGGGTGGACAACTTTCTGTATTTACTAAACATCAAGAACTAATGGCTTGGCACGAGGGAGGGCTAACACCCCCTTGGCCAAGACTGATTAACAAGGAAGGAGTTTCACAAGGTCCGGAACAAAGGGAATTGTGGAAATTGCCATTAGTGACTCAAAAAATGTCAATCTGGAAAGGCAATTTTTCAGGATCAAAATATTCCATGTCTGATTACTGGTTTCCTTTTTTTTTTTGGTAACTCAGGTCCTTGCGCTTGCAAGAGAGTCGGTGGAACACCTGAACTAAATCCACAGCCCTACTGGTTTACTTCTAATAGTTCCATTTGTTTACCAGGATGTGTTATGTTACCCTTTGTTCTTGCTGTGGTGGAATTACAATTTAATAAGACTTTAAGGAGTGTTGAATGTAGTAGGTGCAAACTATACACATGTTTAAATGCCAGTCTAAATATTAATTTGACCCAAAAGAGTATTTTGACTTTAAAAGCTAGAAAACACATTTGGCTACCCATAAATTTGATTCAGCCATGGGAAGAAAGTCCTCTGTCAGGATTAATGATTAAAGTTATGCGAGAATTGTTAAAAATAAATAAATGATTTATTGAGTGGATTGTTGCTACTTTTATAGGACTTACTGGCATTTCCACAACAGAAGCTGTAGCAGGCTTTATGCTCCAAACTGCCATTCAAACACATGACTGTGCAGAAATGAATGGAAAATTCTCATAAATTGTGGTCAATGCAAACTCAAATCAACCAAAAATTGGAAACTACAGTTATGGAATTACAACAAACTGTCAAATGGCTGGGAGATCAATTGGTCAATCTCTAAAAACCACTCATGTTAACATGTGATTGGGGGCCGGGGATTTAGCTCAGTGGCTTTGCCTCCTGCTTCACAAGTGCAAGGTCCTGAATTCGATCCCAAGTACCAAAAAAAAAAAAAAAAAAAAAAAAAAATGTGATTAGAATATTACCATTAGTGTGACACCACATTAATATAATGAGACTCAATATACATGGGGTTTCATCAAATATCATTTTACAAGATATTAAAAAAATTAGCTTAGATATAAGTACTCTCCAGAGGAAGATCTTTGACACATTTGATAAAAAATTGCCCTCAATTACTTTAGAGGGACTGGCACAAGGGATAGCTGAGGAGCAACAGGGCTTTGACCCCAGTGGCTTTGTTCAAAGTTTAACACATAATATTGGAAGTTCATCTGTGGTATTGATGATTGTAGTGTTGTTCTTTTAGGATACTTCTGCCTCTGAAAATTCATTAGCTTAAACAATCTGCTTAAGTTATGCTTGCACTACATTTGAACCAAAGAAAAGGGGGGAGATGATGGAATTGTCTTGGTGCAGGATACCACTGTGTGTGTATTCACAGAGTTGTTAGGAAAGCCTGACAGCAAGAGATCAAAGATGATCTCTCAGACATGCACTTGCAGTGTCCCAGGCTCTCCCTGCTCCTTATAGTTAAGGAAAAAAATGTGTCCCTGAGTATGTTTATTCAGACGTTGCTTGCCATAGCTTGGCTCCAGAAACAAAATTTACTGTTGTCATGTATAACCTCTGTAGTGTTTTTTTGTTATTTGTTTTTTAGTGTTTTAACTTCTGTAATGATCAATACAGCCTGTGACTAGTGACATATAGCAGCTCACTGTGTAGGATACAAAAAGAGAAACAAATAAAGGACTGGGTTTTGCTCCTCAAAGCTCTGCCCCTTGTGCCTAGCTGTTTTGTGTCTGTCTTTTCTATACCCGACAATATGAAATGTTTAGAAGAGATAAACCCATGGTGACAAGAAAGTAATTTAATTTTTGCCGGAGGCTGCTCAGAGGAAGAGGGACTGAGACTGATAATGAGTAGGGTGTTTCTTTTTGAGATGATAAAAATGTTCTGAAATTTCATAATGATGGGGTTTACAGAAATCTTTGAGTATATTGATATCCACTGACATAAGTTTTGAAATGATGGTACGTGGATTATATATTAATTTAAAAACTATTTCAGGACAGGTCAGCTTTATGCATATGTAAGGTGTAAGTTTTGACTCTATCATGAGAAATCCTACATTCTAATGCTTTGCCCTTACTGGTCCACATTACATTCATAGACTTCCTTTATGTTATTGTTTTTTCTATTTAGATTACTCAGTACAGTGCTTTGTGAAACGTACGGCTTTATAAACTACTTTAGGTATTGAAATGTATGTATTTAATCCTTTTCATCTCTTTGAGACTCCTAATAAAAATAATGACCCAATCTTCCTGTTCAATTTTTCTTCACTAGTCTGTGTATTACTTGAGGCTAAGGTTCCTGGTAGATTCATTCTCATATTCTCTGTTCATCCAATCCTCACTTCTATTTCCATGTTGTACCTAGCATAGTGCCTGGAATAAAGACACTACTTAAAATCCTTTTAGAACTCTTCCTAGTTCAACCTTTACTCCAACTTGACTGTAATCTCCTTGAAGACCCATATTAAGTAGCATTCATTGATGTATTTTCCACAATGCTCTCGTGTGTAGTCCTATTCTTTACATGTAAGTTAATTAATCAATTTGTTATAGTTGTTTGCCTACTTGCCATATCAAATATTTTTCCAAATCATGTTTTAAGACTGTGTTTTACTCTAATCCTGTCCATACCATTTTTTTTTGTTTTTTTGGCTTTTTGAGACAGGGTCTCACTATGTAGTTGGCGCTGACCTGGAACTCACTATGTAGCCCAGGCTGGTCTCAAAGTCACAGCGATCCTCCTGACTCAGCCTCCCAAGTGCTGGAATTACAGGTGTGCGCCACCTTACCTGGCCATTATCCTCTACTTGAATGTGATAATATCAAAATAAACAGAAGTAATGATGTCAATGATAGAATAAGAGGTATTAGTTGAAGGATTCTTATAGAAAGTTGGAGACAGCATTACAATGTAGAGACAAAATATAGCCTTAGAAAAATATTAGGAACTCTAAATTATCTTTTCCTTGCCTTTGTAGCACAAACATTCCCCATGAATCTTCCTAACCACTCACTTATAATGCTTCTCAAACAAATTTCAGCCTTTTTTTTCCCTAACACTGTGGGGACCAAGACCCAGTTAGTTTATATTTTTCATAGAGAGAGGCATAGAAAATAAACGTTTTTGTAAAATTAGAGGCCTCCTAGAGCTGTCAAGAATTGAGTTCCTTCTAAAGGAAGGAGGAAAGACTTAGGCTGGATTGTGGCTGCCCAACTTCTTTATGAAGACACTTTCTGTTACAGAATTAAATAAAGAAATACCTTGTTGCCGGGCGTGGTGGCTCACGCCTGTAATCACAGCACTCTGGGAGGCTGAGGCAGGAGGATCGCTGTGAGTTCGAGACCAGCCTGGGCTACATAGTGAGTTCCAGGTCAGTCTC